CTTACATCAGAATGAAGAAGGAAGCTAATTCCCATATTATGCATTCTAGACAAAAGTGTTATGGCATTTTTTCTATTTTTCACAGTCTCCTAGGACACAGAAAGATGGAATAACTTAAATCAGACAGGTGTCCTAGGCTTCATGCTAGCACAAATAATAATAGGTAAAGGAGCACCATTCACAGGTGTGGTTATGTTTCTGTCATTGAGTAAAAAGGTTCAACTGAATAGACCATAAATGTAGTATACAATGTATATACAAACACTGCCTTTACATTTCTAGAGCTATCTATAAATTAAAGGTTAACTAATACATCTATTTTAATTAAAATCAATGAGAAAGAACAAAATCTCACCTCTAACTCTGCAGACCAGTGTTAACCAACAGCTTTTAGGAACATTGTCTTGGCCAGCCAAGGCCTGATTCTGACACAGCAGGGAAGTTTCTCCTGACTTCCACTAAGATTTCAAACATGGTAAAAAGGTTACTTAGTAAAAGGTACTTAGTAGCACTCCTGGTATTTTATAGAAACATACATACATCACAAATATTATTTTCCTGAGAGACCTGGGGCAGGATCCTTGTCTGGATCCACAACAAATAACACTGGTCAAGGGCTGAAAGGTAAAGGACATGAACATAGCCTTTATCTTTGCCCCAAATTCATATTCCAAACCAGCCTCAGCATTGAGTGTAATGAAATCAGAAGTCTCAGTTCAGTCCCTGGTGGCATTAGTTCACATTATAAAATCATTACACATCATTTGACAATGTTGTGCACTGTTAGCATAGAGAAGAACTTGTTCTGTGTCTCTGGGGGGGACGGTCCCCACAGAAAAGATCAGGTTTGTGTGTGATGAGGAGGTGCAGGGGGGAGTGCAGCTGGCTGGTTGATAATGAGCACTTTGATGTTTAGCGTTTCTACTCCCTTAACACTCATCAAGACCAATATTTGTCAGAATACAAAGAGGGGAAAAAAGTCAAATTGTTGTTTTCTAAAAGGGCAACTGAGTAACATTTACCTAGTACAAGTTTAAAGGGAAATTCAGATGTTGGAAAATACACAGAATCTATTAAAACACCTTTGTCTGTTGCTATTCAAAACATCTTTGACTATTGCTATGCTGGAACTTCAATGTAAAAACATGGATGTTTTCCTATTTCTTTTCTTTTTTCCCTTTTAAAGACAGATTTACAGCATAACATCTGATCTCATACACTTGTCACCATAATACTCTCCAAAGGCCCTGAAAGACAATGGATCCTTCCAAGTGAAGCAAAAGAGAAGAGTGAATGTTTGCAGACTGGGTGTCTAACTACCCATCTGGGTGGGATTGGAAAACACAGGCAGCCACAGCTCTCAGTCTCCCCAGCAGACAGTGGGCTGTTCATAGACCGCTTGCACAGCTTGCAACAGCACATCTTTAATTACTAGAAAAGAATCCTATCTTTAATTGCAGCTGAAAAAATAAGTCTCTTTGCAGACCACAGAGTATGTTTTTCTCAAGTGGGATGAGCCGCAATTGTAATTGGAATACAAAGAAGGAAGGACAAATCACTAAGCAGTTCATTACTCTGCAGTTTTATTTAAAAGCTATGCTGGCTTTTCAGTCATGGAAAAACCACCATTCCCAAGAGCATGGGTGAAACTATCTGGACAGCTGCTAGGAAATCCAGTCCCCAGGGGTCACCTGAGCATCATAACAAAAGCTGAGGATGGTAAAGTTAGGTAAAGCTGGCTGGAAGCCATCTGTTAGCTACAGCATGAGTTCTTTCTCATGTTGGTCCCACAACAACTTAACTGAAGCAAGTCAAGACCAGCCAGTTGTCCTGTCTAAGCCACTTACTCCTACCCCCTGCCTCCCTGCTCCTCCAATGGGATGAAATGGTTCAACTGGAGGTCAGACAGGAGCCAAGGCCAGGACCATGTTGGGGAGAGAGGAGCACAGGAGCCCTACTTGGACAGGTCTAACCACAGCAGAACCAGTGCCTTGCTAACCTATGTATTGAATAATCTTGGCTCCGGCCTACAATAAGCATTACAGTAATTTAAGTGATTTACAGGAGACTGACAAGCCTGTTGTCACCTTCCTTGACAGAAAATTTAGGATCGGAAAGAATCTGGATTTGAATGGTAGCCACCAGCCTAGGGCCCACAGAAGCCATGGCTTAGGCCTTGAATACCATTAACATCTGGATTTGGAGGCAACTTCATTAAGCAAGTTGCACTTCCTTCTGTGTCTTCCAGTTCTCAAGCTCTTTGATTTGGGCTTCCGCCTCATTTTCATAATTTCTCTGAAACTAACATACCATAGTTTGATTTTATTTGTAAGAGTAATGTTCTGATACAGCCTCAATACTCAAACAGACTGGATTTTAGAGAGAGCAACCTTGCTCATGCTTACCGTGATACAACAAAAATCAGGAGACCTGACAATACTAAACACGTTTTAGGTAACTGTAAGCAGGTTTATCTACTGTTCACCTCAGTGTATATATTCTCAAAACAAAATTAGGGAATAAATGACTGTTCCAAATTGTTCCAAGCCTCTAAACGTTTCTGTTTTAAATTGCTTCTCCAGCAGCTGTAGTCTGGGAGTGGGGGAACGACGGGTCTTGGAGATATCTGGCTTCATTCACCATTTGCTCTTAAATGGTGTAACAGTTTTATGGCCTTTTCCTAATGATCACCCATTGTGTAGTGGATTGCCAATCAAGGATCACTTAATGACAAAACAGAATAATTTAACCCCTATTCAAATGACAATACGCAGAATTGCCCACGTAAATGTCTCGACACAACAGAAAGTTTTTCAGCTGAATGAGGTAAATAACATTAACAAGCCATTATCCCATAGCTCTTCCTCGCCAGTTACAAAAGACCGACCTTTGAACTTTGAACTTTTTCTTTGACTGATCGCGACCATTATAACATTTGTGTTAGTCACTTAAACCTGCAGGTGTAGCCACTTACAATACCTAATAAAATGTGTAGGCTTCAGGGGAGGAGAAACCCGGGCTCACAGGAACTAAACTGCAAGAATTAGCAAGGGCATTTCAAAAGGATTAATGTCCCGTAATTCTCCCGCAGCAATGAGAGGCCTGACAAAGCCCTTCGCTGTGCTGTCCGTGTCCCATTGGGGACAGCTCCCTCCAGCTCCCGCAGCAGTGGCCGGAGCTGCGGGGATGCCCCGCACTGCCCCGCCGAGCCTCCTCCGCTGCGGGGGCTTGTGCTTCGGGTGATGCCTCTCACCGACCGTCTGCTTCTAAGGTTACCTTGGGAAATGTCACATTTTGAGTTGCTAAATCACACAGTCTTAAAAAAAAAAAATCGTTAGCACTGCACTGCTGTAGGTACCACCAAGAAACAAGTGTGTAGAGTGCACAGGACACTCTTACGTTTTTCCCAGTCAGGGAAAGTCAGCAGTATCACTTCGTGTGGGTGACTGATCATAAGCTTGTGGAAAAGGTGAAATCAAGTGGCTGAGTATGATGCACAGGATAGGAACTGATGGGCAAGAGGTCTATGGTCTCTGCCTGCTCTTTCAGTGGAACTTCTTGGAACAGACATAGGAAGAGAGAGGAGGTATTTTCAAATCAGATACAACTCCTAAGAATCTGCAATAGACCAAAGGGCATTTTAGGAGCCATACAGAAACTAAAATTAGTGAATACATTGCTTTCTTTAAACCACAGCCTGGGGTTTAGTGAACTGCCACAGTATAAGAGGCAACTGCTCTGCGCCTCATTCCCTGCCTTTGGTTTGAAAGTGAATGAAAAGACAACTTGCATAGCAAAAGTAACACATGACATGCGGTTCCAGGACAGTAAGCACCTTACAGTTTCCACGTGATCTTTGTACTTTTTTAAAAAACTGAAACCAATTAAAGGTGAGTGCAAAAATAAGTAGATGCTGTTTTTCACAGAAGGTGAATTTAAAAGGCAAATCAGTACAACACAACCACTTATTGGAACCAGATTTTAAATTTGCACAGTACTTATAAGACTTGCCTTGCAAGAACAGCCACAATATATTTTGATTTATTTTGACAGTCTGAAATAAGCCACCTACAACCCAGACCAAAGTTTCAACATTATGATCAATTCTGTGAGAAAAATATGCACAATGTATTTGTCTAGTAATAAATTTAAAGAAATTTGAACACAGTTGTGGATATGCTGCAATTACAGCAATAAGGAAAGTTGATCAAATAAAATGTTGACTTTGAATCATTCCTGCAGCTCTACTTTAAATAATTGAAATAATAACTTTATTACTGTTTTGAGTTGAAAATAATATCTGATAATCTAATAACATTTTAGATAATTAGTATGTAACAGGAACTAATCTAATGTAAGAAAAAAATGTAAAGGAAATCAAATATTATTTGAATAGCCAGTTGATCATCACCAACCTCTAGGGGAATTTGGGAACTCTAAACCTACACTGCTTTAAAAAGCTTTTTTTTTTTGGCCATCTTTTCTAATGATGCCTCACAAAACCAGACTGCACCCTGACCTCATCAGAAAGGGCACACAGATTTACTCTCTTAAGTAGCTACTGTAGTCACATGTCATAAGTATTATGGAAAAAAACCCCAAAAGACACACAAAAAACCGAAAACAAACAAGACTTCACACCTAATAACCAACCAGATAAGTCCTAAAGACCTGGTCATGGAACCCTAGGCCAGAACTGGAGGTAGAGTTCCTGTCTTGGTGCATAAGCACTCAGAAATTCTAATTAAACCATGTCTCTGTAATGTCAGAATGGATAGTCCACAGATTCAAATGGGAATCACCAGACCTGCCCTTTTCAGTCACTCCTTTAAATAAAAGAAAAATCAGGAGTGTCCAAAAGATCATGAATCTTCAGCAGGCAACCTGAATGAGATGGTCTTAAATCATGAAAAAAAAGACCTAAATGTACCTCCATGACAAACACATTTCTGGCAAGTTCAGTAGAGATGATAAAGGAAGAAGGAAAGTTACATTTTTTTCTAGGAAGAAGCCAGACACCTGTGTTCCATATCTCCTTCTCTGTGCTTCCTCTGCAAAGAGAAAATATTGCAGCATTAGAGCTACCAGGGACACTGGGCCAGAAACAGTTTCCACTCAGAATCCTCCAGCTGCAACCCAATTAGTAAATCTGGACCTTGCTATTATATCACACACTTTGATGAAGAGAATGGAAAAAAAGGCTGCAATACAATTGCAGTGTTGACTGATTCAAGACGAGGCACTTCTCACAGCTTCTGGGGTAAATGTATACATCTCCAGCAAGGAATAGAATCCCACTGCCACTGTTTTCTTCCCAATTTTCATTAACTTTCTTGAGTTTGACATAAAACACACCCACACATTGCACCAGAAATAATTATGTACTGCACATGATAGGTTAGGAATGCTTCAAATAATTGCCCACAGTGTCCCTGACATGACTAGCAAAGAGCTGAGGAAGAACAAAGAAGATTTATAAAGGCATTTACCCATATTCTACAGGTTGACATCACTTCAGTTGTCAGTTTTGGAATAGGTATGTTGGACATACCGATATATACACTTTGTACATTGTAGTACTTCCTTTAAGGGAAAAGAATCAAAAGAGAAGTTTACGGAAACACCAAATATTCAAAATCACTTAAAGCCCCCTATAAGACATGCACAAACCACTCTCCCTTCTAATAGGGCTCTCTCGATTTGCCCAGAATCCCTGTTGTATGTCACTTGAACTGGTGTCAGCCGCAAACACTGACCATGGAGCCCTTCGGTGTGATGCTCCAGCGTGCTGGGGGTGAAGACACACACATATTGTCGCATTGGGATCTGACATTGTCTTATCTCGGGCCTTTTGCTGTTGACATTTGTCACCAGCTCAAAACTTATTATAGCCACCATCTCCGCTTAAATTTACAGATACATTTTAATTAATGGGGGAAAATGCGTTTATCTCCTTCGAGCAGTGCCTGGGTTCCAAGCGTTTGTTATCTCCGGTGTGAAATTTGGGCTGACAAGAATCAACGCTTTCCACGCCGCAGCTCCGAGCCGGCCGCCGGGCAGGGAAGGGAAGGGAAGGGAAGGGGTCGGAGCGGCTGCGGGAGCTGCCACTGCCAAACCGAGCCCTGCTCACACAAGTGTGCAGAGCACATCTGCCTGGGCCCTGGCAGCTGGGGCCGTGTGACCAATTCAGCGCCTGAGAGTGAAATTAACGGCAAAGAGTTTAATTGTGAGTAAACAATACCGCATTAAGGAGCGGTAAACACAGCAGCAGGGACCGAACGACTGAGCATTCAATCACTGATGTGGCCGCTTCGGTGCTTTCACTAACGATCTCCCCCGTCTGCGCCGTGTGACGGGGCTCTCGGCGCTCCTGGTCATTTACACGCGCCGCTTCCTCGCCCTCCTGCCCCGGGGGATGCGGGTGCCCCTGATGATGCGGGTGCCCCTGATGGGTGTCCCCTGCCCGGGGCGGGGCAGCCTTGGCCCCTCCGAGGCGCTGCGGCTGCGGGGAACACAACACTGCCCACCCCGCGTGCCTACAGAGGGCAAACGTGGTGATCAGACAGCATCGAGAGAGTGCCAAACACCTCTAATATTTTTCTTAAATAATAACGTGCTTCGTCCTTTAAAATTGTTGGCTGACTAAATGTGTGTGTCACACACCCACGAGCACATAGGCCTGAGCAACCCAGGCACAGACTATTTGGGAACAGAGACGTGGCAGGCATGAATATTTACCCGGATTCTGACCGCCCTTGAGCAGCTTCCCGGAGGTAAATCTGAGGAGCTGGGGCAGTTGCCGCCACAGCCGCTGGGCCTTAGTTTCCTTCTTCACAAAACGGGAAGTGTTCCAATTCATGTGAGCAGGAGACTGTGGGGACTATCTGCAGATTCTGTGAAATGGTAAAACACACACACCAGCTGAATAAAGTTTATGAAGGAAGATACCAAATTCTTCATCATTTTGTTTCTTCATTTTCCCTTTACTCCCATTCTCATCGCTTATTGATTTTTGTTTCCAGCTGACATACGAGCGACAGTCTATATTAAGACAACAGCAGCTGAAGCATCAGTAAAGTCAACATCACTATATACCATTAAGAAATCTGCTGTTTGATGATGCACATTTACCACTCCAAGAAGTGCCTTAGGGAAATACAACCACTTCTGAAGGGGGACTAGTACTAGGTGGGTGGGCTTCAAAAAATACTGCTCTACGTGATGTCCAGTACGAGAATCCCTTTCAAAAACAGTGAGATGAATGAGCTGTCATCGACCCACTTCATTCCCTGCTTTGCAGAACACTCACAAAACGGGCAAAGGACAGTTCTGTTTTGTTCAACACATGATAAAAATGCACAAAAGGTGATTGACATGAAGAAACTGCAAATGTGGTAAACTAAACATATGCTTCTGGAAGCACCAATCTACTAGAACAACTCAGTCGTGTGTATCCTCTAGTTGCTGAAAGACTAACCACCACTTTAAAACAATTGAAATCCCTATATATTGTGAGTATAAGCTTTTAATTAATTTGCCATATTACATGTATCAACAGCTAGACAGAAATGGAGCTTAACAGCAATTTATCTTCAATCTGGTTTTGAAGCCAACACAAATATTTCTTCATTTCACCCTGCTTTTGACTCACTATGTAAGTAGAAGCAAAAGGGCCCAAACCGCTTCTGACATTAACATCATAAAAGGTGTAACCTGGCTTAAATTAGTGCCATTGACTCTTCTTGTGCCAGCAACGAACTGAGATCCCTGTCTTCACTTGTGGCACTCTGCAATTTAAAAGAATTTGATGTAATAATAATTATGAATGAACTCATGAGACTCTCACTCTCACATGAAGTGTCACAGGTTACATTCTTGCACGGTCGCAAGGCTTCATTCTGTTTGCTAGGCAGAGTCCTTTCCCCTTCCCTGTTACAGAAAATCAGCTGTGCTCTCTCACCAAACTGTCATGCACTGTACAAACCCCACACAGAAGTTCCCACCAAGGTGCTCCCACTTCTACTGAACCCACAGTGGAACAGAAGCCTCTGCTCTGTGCTGACAGCAGCTCCTTCCCTTAATGCAAGCCTTGGAGGGAAAAAATCTCCAGCTGGGTCTCTGCACACTGAAGAGTAGGACACACTCATCAAGACTACTAGTGGTAGAACTGAACAGAGAGGATTAAAACCAAAATCAAAACATAACAAACCACAATACCACCACCTACACACACACACACACACAAAGGTTAATAAAAAGTAAAAACTAAAAGGAGGAACATGTGCAGGGGTTAAGGACTCCTCTGCTTATTCTGTCTAGGCTTTTCACCAAGATTTTCGAGATTTCCAGCAAGAACATTTCCAGGATTTTGTGCCGGTGAACACAGGCACTACACATTCACTTGGCCATTCATTAGCATTTTACTACCAGAGCTCTTGGCCTAAGCTTGACGTGAGCAGGTAAACAAGAAATTTCCTCTGTCTTTTGCTATTTAGCTCCATACAAGTATTAATAAGGCAATTCTCAAAAATCCAGATGCTCAAACCTGAGGAATGGTTATGGAAGGGCAGAAACCTTCAACAGAGACTTAAGTGAAAAGGAAGAAACCTTCCTGAGGCAGCTGGTCCATATTTGTATTCTCCAGTTTATTCAGTCTTCCTCTGATTATTTCGTTAGCTCTTCACTTTTTTAATGAGTGTAATCCCACAACTCCCCAAGCATGCACACTACACAACCTGTCCCTAGAAATTATCTCCCTCTGCCTTTTATAAAAGCTCCCTCACAAACAAACAGTCTGCTTCATGCTGTACACACATATCCATGTAACTAACACAATTTGCCAATTTGCCAAAGGGTAAAAAACTCTAAGCTCCCTTTATTTGTCTTGCTGCCGAGTGATCTCAGCCCCAGTGACTAAGAGTCAAGCAGCGAGCTGTGGGGAGATGCCATGCTAAACTCACCTCAGCTGCAAGCAGCAGAGCTGCCATCTTGCTAATCAGCTTTAATTTAGCTGTCTCACAGCTTCATAAGTAAATAAAGACTTACTTAGTGTCAGAAATATCAGTATTTAACTGTAGAGTTTAAAAGTATGGTAATTAAAAGAGTGCCACAAGTCACAGCTCGGTGCAATCCTAACAGATTGTAGGGTTTGCCTTTTTGAACCTCTCAGCACGTTTAGAAACTTGAGTAAAACAACAAAAGGTGTTAATAGCTTTAAGGGGAGCACCATGCTGATAGATTACCCATTATGGTTATCCACTCACAGCGAAATGGCAAATAGGTTTGATCAATTCGATTTTAATGTAAAGTGAACTTGAAAAAAACCCAGCAATGAGCAAAGAGAAGACCTTTTGTTGCTAATGTGTCTGAAAAAAAAGCACTTAATTGAGGTCATAATAATATTAGCAGTTATCACCATCAATAATTCAGCCTTATTTATTACTACATGGTAAAGTTCTGTCAAACAGGAATTGTTCAGGCTTTGTTATACATGTTAACATGAAGCTAGCTGTTGGATGATTGGTATATATTTCACCAGCTGCTCAAAACTGCGGGATAGCAAGAACTAATGATATTCCTTCTTGGTCCTTGCATTACACAATAGTTAATTTGCTGCATGCAGAAATATACGTTACAAATATAATAGTCCCACATAAAGTATGCGTAATAAAAAAAGCATTATATCTGAAACAGTGACTGACTAATCTTGCCTGAGCTATCTGTCATATGGAAAACAATTTCAATTCCTGCATGATTTAGTACTCCTACAGCAGGAGAAACATAAATTCTGCCTCTTCACACAGTTCTAGTCACCTGTGATTAGTTATCTTTAAAAAATCTAAACGAACGTATAATTGTACAATTATAGATGCAAACTCCAATGTTAAAATTTAAAATGTATTAGTCTCATAAAATGGCTCATTAATCTCTAGGTCTTAAAGGACATACTTGTCCGGTAATGAGCCAAATGCAGGAAATATGTGTGTGGTGGTGGATGGGGGAATTTTACCTCGTATTATTTTTTTTAACCTTAGAATAATTTTATTCCTACAAAATCTGTTTACCAAACACGAAGAAGTTGTCAATGACAAAGTCAGTTGCAGTTCTCTGGTCATTAACTATGGAAATAAGCTGTTTTGGAGAGATTAGTTTTTCCTTATACACGATATTCATGGATTTATAACAGCTATATAATTACTGACTGGAACTGCAACCAGAAGGGCTGGGCAGGAATATTGATCTTTCCCTGTCTGCTAATGACCGCTTCTCCCCTGCGCTGATGGCAGGAAGCCTTCTATTAGGTTTTTACCACCTTTCTTAAGGAAAAAAAAAAAAAGGTTAAAAAAAAAAATAAGGATAAGAAAGATCATAGGGGCACCTGTGAAAAACAATGCTTATCCCACTTAGAGACTGTCAGGCAGAGGTATTAGCCACTGCAGCGTTTGGTGCGGACGGGACAGGAACCCAAATTCAGGGGCGGAGCGAGGAGCAGGGCTCGGGGGCAGAGGCGAGCGAGCGCCGGGGGGTGATGGATGCAATCCCTGAGCGGGAGGGAGCGGGCAGCCCCTCGGAGAGCTAATCCACTTGGCAGCAGCGAGATGGCTCCTTGAAGGAGCTAAAGTAGACTGACACAATGGCCTGCGAGGCATTAAAATGTAGGAATTAAAAACTGTTAAATTGCACAGAGGGATTCTTAACCTCAGCCCTTTGGCAACACAGTGATGTTTCTTCCCTTTTCTTCTCTCTCGCCTCCTCTTGAAAGTGCCATACACAGTAGATTTATTTTTTTTCCAGATGCCTCACTGCTCAGACCCCACTAATTCTGGATGCCAGTTGCCTGCCGTACACAAACCCCGTTAATGACGGCTATAAAGCGTCTGAAAGAGTGCCTCGAAAAATAACTTCCCTTCTGCTCCTGGCTGTTCTTGGCCCTCTCCCTGCCCTATTCCACAGCAATGCTCAAAGCAGCCGTCACTCAAAAGCACATCTGGATTCACAGATCTGGACCTTTTGATCCTGCAAATGTAAGAGCTCCAGACAAGTCTCCCTCTGCAACTGGGGCTGTGCAGATTCCCCACACCATTTCAATGAGAAAGGTGAGGCTCTGCGTTGTTTAAATGGACAAGCAAATGTTCAAAACGATTTTAAACTGGGGACCATTATTGTTTGCCCTGGAGCTTAAATGGATGTGGGCTTTTTTTTTTTCCTTTTCTTTTTTCTTTTTCTCTCCCTGAAACACAAGTTATCCTCAGGCTCAACAAACTGACATGTGGTTCCTGACAATAATAGGGTATCACTCAGCCACTTTGTAGAGAGCTGCCAAAAGAGATTCTTCTTCTTCCCTTGCTGGTGGGTTGGTTTGGGTTTTTGTTGTTTTTAAACACCGTGACATTTTAAAAGTTATTAGAGTATTAATGCTGCTTTTTAATGAATAAAGCTTTATAAAACTACTGATATGGAATTAACATAAGTTTACCTCTCAATGCAAGTCTCTTTTTTTTTCTATTTTACTATCCATTACTTCATTAAATCAACACTGAAAAAGACTAGCCTTGCCAAATTTCTCACTGCACATTCCACTGTTTGCCCATGACAGTATTTGAATGTGCTTATTATTTCTAGTAAAGCCCTTATCATTTTCACTGTGAAATTTAAATCACCCTGATCCAACTCTTCTTAGCTAAAGTCAGCTTTATCAACCACAAGAGATGTGGGATTTTAAAAAGATCTGAGTAAATTCACATTGTTTGGATAAACTCATTCAGGGGGTTCAGCAAATGAAAGCTGAAATAGATATGTATTCCAAGGAGGTTATGGACTGCTCAAAAGCAAAGAAGTTAAAGCATAATTAAAAAAAAAAAAAAAAAAAGAAGTTAATAGTATCAGTATCTTTTTAATGAGGGCATTCAGAACCTAGAATTTGAATTGGTATTTCTATGCCTCCACAATAATTTAAGTGAAAAGTAAATAAAGAAGGAAAAAAACCCAAACAAACAAAAACCCCTAAACATTAAACTGTTTAAACAAAGATATTCTACAATCCACTCTGCTATGTTATCTGGTCAGTGTTGTGCTATCAAAAAATGTTAAGGGCTGCATTTATACATTATCCCACAATTTAAGTAACTGTGTATCATGTATATTTTAAACCATCCCTCTGTAGTTTTAATTATCTCAGTCTGCAGGGAAAAACGCAGCTCCTATGCCTGAGACCGAAATGAAAGTGCTGCACGCTGACAGCTAAGATGTCTGTCCTAGCTTGTTGAGATTTCCTGTAAAATTTGCATTGAAAAGGCAGCTTTAAATATACTTAAAATAAAAAGAGCATTTGCATCTAATTTGCTACACTTGCAGTATTAAAGTTTTATCTGAATAAAGACATGTCAAATGGATTTATATAGTTAAGCTGATAGCTTTTAAAGTCAACACAGTAACATCAGCTAAATTCAACAAAGTAATGGCAGCAGCTAATGGCATTTATTAGTTTATCATCATTTACTTAAAAACCATAACGCAGATCATTTTATTTTCACATTACTGTTTGTGATTCTTTGACTCAGTTTGTATTGATTCCGCAAATTATGGCAGAAACTGACATTTATCTAACAGAGTTTTCCAAGCTATAAATGTTGGCTTTAGTGGGAAGCAATTGAACACTTGCCACACAATGGTTTGAGCCATGCTAGAAACAACCATCTTCAAATAAACACATTTGGCAACCATTTTAAAATACGATTGTTGCTTGTCTGATAATGACAGAAGGGTTTTTGTTACTGATAAGGCTCTTATTACAAACCACTGCCTATGTAATCTACAGCTTGATCACACAACGTGCTAAGCACACTCACCCCAACCCAGCAAAGAGCTGAAGCATTAAGCTTTGTTTTGAAGATATGCATAATAGCAAGCAAGCCTTTTTACAGTACTTCTCTTCTGCGGATGTCAAAGAACTTCACAAAAGGGATCATCACTGTTTACACAGAAGGAAACTGAAGCTGAGAGAATCCAAATCACACCCAGTGCTGCAGTGGGACTTGACGCTGTGAGTCCCAGTTCAGTGTTCTGCACATTATGTTTTACTGCCACTTTATACTCCTGTTGACTTCAGAGTGTCATCTTCGCTTGCCGGACTTCAGTGGTGCTAGATGCCAAAAGCACATGCTAATGATAAAGATAGTTGAAGGGGTCTAAATGTTTACAAAACAGTCTTTTCACTCTAAGTCTCAATTCTGCTATTTCTGCCTGTTTACTCCTCTTTTTAATAACAATTGCTGAAACCTAGATTTACCATGAAATACTTAGCAATATTTTATTGCCACCATAAAAACAAGGCTCACCCATAGCTTGATTTGTAAATATTTTGGGTGTGGACACCTACATGTCAACACTCAGTTTTACAACTGCATTTGAAAACGACCTCAAAAGTTTCCACTCTCCTCAGTGACATCTATGCTTGTTCTTCAGTAGAAGAAAAAAATCCAGCTGAGCTGGAGATGGGGTTTATTTTCAGAACTGTGCACAGAGGTCAACCTTCTTTCTAACAGGAGGCCCATGTCTAATTCCCCATGTCATATTCTAAACCTTTAATTCCAAAGAATCACCAGCTTCTCTCTTTTTCTCTCTCTCTTTTTTTCTTTTCCCTTTTGGTAGCAGACCATATTCCCAAGAAAAGTGACAACACAAGTCACATTTGGCAAGAATTTGAAATGATCATGCTTTGTTCATGCCATTTATTATAATTCTCCCATAGCAATGGGCTTCATTCTACTATGTCCTCACTCTGAACTCTGGCTTCTATTTCAGCACACATTTGTAATTCTCTATCCCTGGGCTGAAGAGCACAAACCTCTGGCTCACCAGAACAGCCTGAGACAGCTGGAGCAATGGATTCTGAGGCATACCCATCCTTCTTGAATCACCATCTCACAGCTGGCCAACTTTCTTATGTGTAAGTGTTGGATTGGGCAAGAAGGAGAGAGAAGGAGCTAAAAACTGTGTTGACCTTTACTTGGAGCCCCAGTCTGACCTCACTCAACTCAACAGGAATTCTGTTCTGATTTAAACAGTGGCTGGATCAAATATTTATAAGGTTTTATTGAAGAATACTGAAGAAAAACTGCTGCAGAAATTTATTTTGGTGAAAAAAAATTGAGTAAAACCATTAATTCTTTTTCTGTATAGGGTCTCTTCCTTCAGCTCAAGGAACACAGTTGTAACCTACTAAAAATGCACACCCTATTTTACAGCCATTTCAGTCATGCTGGACAGAATGACAACCCCACAAGTCTCCACTGTGCCACAGAGAAATGATGTGTTCTCCTTGGGACTGGAGGGGAGACAGTGCCTCTAGCAATACATCTCCAGTGGGGAATATTATGGCACAAGTGTTCTGAAACAAAAGATCAGAACCAGGTAGCAACAGCACTGCAAACAACATCATTGCTTAAGAAGTAGGGCAGCTTAAAGGAGGAGAGATAGTTATATTCAAAGTCAGAGAGAAAAAAACCAACCTCTTGGTTTTCATCCAAATGCAAATAGAAAGCCAACCCTGCAGCTGAAGAACTGGTTCCTGCCAGCTCCACCTGAGAAACAGGGCATTTTGCACAGTAGTAGTTAGAGCCTCCACATGGCTCTGAGGTACAGCCCTGAAGCAATTTAGTTTGACCTGGAAACCCCAGGGCATGGGAGAAGTTCCCCACCCCTGATCACAGTCATGGGCTGGAGGAATTCTTCTGAGCACTGATCCCTCTGGAGTAACACGAAGCAGAACAATTTCACTAAGTTCATGTCATTTCAGTTGCATCTCACTGCAACTGAAATGTTATGGTGAGTTTTCCTTTTAATTTCACTCATCTTATACTTCAGAGAGCTCATTCCTAACTTGTGCTAGCAATGGCCATTCTCTACTTTCATTCTCTCCTACTGAGGCCCTTTCTATCCCACATAGGAAAGAAACAACAGCACCCCAGCTGGTGTCTATACTGTAGCAGGCAGGATAATGTCAACCAGATACAGGGCCACATCCTCAACCGATGCAAATTATCCTAACTTCATTTACTTCAGTGGAGCTCTTGGTGTTTTCTATCAGATAAGGATGTGGACTTTAGCATTAATCATGTGCAGAGCAAAAACCCACCATTTCAAGCTTCATTATGAAACAAGTGCTACATTAGCACTGAGCATGAAAAATCTCAGAATTTCCCTTTAATGATCTTGAAGATTATGTGCAGCAGGAAAGAAGAAGTGGAAAATCTGTCATAAATATCACTGAATATTTTTAATAGCTAAAAGCTAGGCTTTCTTTAACACTCTTGCCTGAAAAAAAGCCCTAGAGTCTATTCATTAACTAGGAAGCAAGGGGATTGGTTTGTCATTTTAGTATGCCTGTGAGACAGAACACAATGGAGAGACAAAGTTCTCAAACCCAGAGACAGCACAAGCTAGGAAAAAAGTAGATGGGCAAGCAGAGCCATTTTAAAATATAGTATGTATAAATATGGAAATAACTCTGTAAAATCTCGGGATGCACTTATTAAATATTGTCTGTTGCAGCCTGTTCTTTACTCAGCCTTGGCAACCCTTTTAGTCACTACACATCATTTGACGGCAGCAGGAAATACCTGTGATGGTGACTTGCTTCCCAGTATCTCTGGTGACAGCTGGAGACAGCTTACATGAGTGGAGTCTGCAGTGGACTCCCCTGCTCCCTGATCATGCGTTGTAGGTGCACAGAACACTGTAATTCTAAGCAGGCATCAGAGGCTGCTGCTTGAATTGACTGTTACTTCAACTTTACAGCGAAAGAAAACATTCCTCAGTCAACCTTCCAAGCCCTGGTCTGGGTTCATGCACTACCCCAGTTTGCTCCAGTACATGTGTATCTCCCAACAACAACTGAGGTTGGCTTAGGCTTGAAGAACGACCCCTAGCACCATTCTGATCTCAGAGCAAAAGTGGAACCCCATTTCCTATCAAAGCAGCCACAGAGATGAAGATGTTACAGCTCTGTGCACTGTCTCAGCATGCTCTTATGAGTCTAAGGCACAATGACACCAAAGCTTGAGAAGTGTCCACGTAATGAGAATAGTGTTTGACGGGTAGACATAAAGAACTAGTCAAGAAGGTTGATAGTGTTTATAAAAGAAGATAAACTTACTACCTTAGATGGTTGTGTGAAGTAAAAGCATCATCTCTCTTTCACAGGAACTGGAAGTCTATGGATTACATGTTATCTGCTAAAAAGAGAGAAACAAAATTGTTGTTGAATATCATCTTCTGTTGGAAAGGAACTAAGTCAGTATGTAGTGCTGCATTTCACTGAAGTTTTTAACAGAATGAATACCCTGAAAAGCTACCCTTGAAAAAAAGAAACTGTCAAGTACTACAGGCTTTATAAAAATTATCAGTTTACTTTGAATGCATTTGGGTGACAGTTAGAGGAGTTTTTGTTTGGATAAATTTTAGTACACTCCCAAATCATGCTGCCAAACATAATTTCATTTGTACTTGTCGACAAAAAATACTCGTATCTCTATTTCCACAAAAGTATATGCACCTTGTATCCTTATCCCACAGAAATCTTTGAATTTAGGGAAAATAGCCCTTTTTTGGTTTTTTTTCCCTTACAGCCTTAACAGGCTGTAATAATAAAGTTTGCCCTCATTTTGGAGTCAAACTTTTACCAAAGAAAAAAACACAACAACAAAAACTTCTCGGAATGAAAGGAATGAATATGCAAACTACGCAATTACAAACAGACGAATAGGAAGAATAACAATAGAATTGTAATTAAAACATTACCATTTACTTTATAGGGTCATTTCATGCTCCCCTTCTCCTCTCCAGTCTTTCTTTCAGAGTTGGAGGGAGCAACAGAAATGTCTCAGTCTCAGCTGTTCACCAGTAAAGTCCAAGACACACAAAGGAAGTCAGTTCTACCTGTGCATAGCCCATGAGCTCCCATGTATATATTTACTGAAGGATGGTTCCCACACTGCCATTACATTACATTTTTTAATACCAAAGATTCAGGTCTCGAGTAACTGTTTTATTCACTTATCACCAAGTAATGTGCCAAGTTGAAAAAACTATCTTCAGTGATCTGCTAATCAGTCTTTCCTACTAAGATCTACTCTATTGTCTATATTTGAGATAATGAATATTAAAATTGCACAATTCATCCCACAGGGTGTTTTTCAAATTATACAGAGCACAATAGAATCCCTTTTCTTGCTGTTGAAATTCCGCCTTCTTCGGGATGGAAATACAGGAGATATGGATGAGTGGAACATAACACTGAGCAGCAAAGAGGGGAGGAGAAACCCACGCCAAATATAACAGGGCAATCCTTTAATCCTACAGAAAAATTAAAAGGTTCTTGGATCTTTGCAGCCTAATTTGATATCATCAGCCACTGTGCACAAAATCAAACCTGTCTGTGTGTAAGCCACAGCTGGCCAGATGCATGCAAACAGAGCAGGTTGTGTAAATAGTGACAAGAGCAGCACGCAAGTTACTGAGCCTCACACACATATTTGGCTATATGTGCAGGACAGAAAGGTCTGTCTTATATGAAGAGAACAAGCACATACTTCCATGTGTGGGTCCAGAAGATAAACCTCCACCTAACCTATAGAATACAACCCCAGAGAGGTGAAAGGCAGCATCAGCCTGACTGGCTGCTGACCAGGTATCTAGCATGTCTTGGTTTGTAGATCCCAAAGTGTCTGTTCTCTGGAAAAAAGTGAATGACACAGGGCTTCACTGTAGTTTGGTTTTATAATAACATTGGTTCTATTTATTAAATAATAGTTCTTTAGAATGGCAAAAATTCACAGACATTAAATTTGAACAGAACTTTTGAAAGTGATCCAAAGCAGAAAACTCCTGGTGGGTTTGGTGAGATAAGAGACCCAGACCTAAGGTGTTTTCAAAGGTTTTAAAAACTTTACTTCAAGAAACTTCCAGCTCCAGAATCAAACAGAAAATTTTCTCCAAAAACCTATTCTGAGCCACTTGCTCATTTATAATTATACTGGTAGAATATTTAGCTTACACTTCCATGCCCTTTTCAGACCAGAAGAGAATCTCCTACATTTCACCTAAAAACCAAAACCAGAAGCTGCTGCTGGTGGGGCAGCACAGAGGGTGGGTACGTCCTTACTCTGCAACATCAGTGGTAGCTCAGCATCCCCTTCCCTCTCATCCAGAACTTCTCTGGCTGTTGCAAGATCAGGCCTTTAAAAGAAATGGAAAAATGCACTCTGTCATGTTAACATCACTCCTTCTTTAAGATATACTGTACAGGTCATAACTTATCCTTTTTAATAAAAAAGAAATAAATTTACCTTTTGAGTGTCATTTCTGACCACTGCTGCCCCTTTGCTAAAGCCACGGGGCTTCACAGTAGACAGCCTGATGGAATTCCAGTTCACAGCTTAATTTTCCTCCTGATAAAAGAGACAAAAAGTTCCTTTCAGTAAAAATAAAATTTAATACGGTCCACGAATTTGATATATTACAACCTCCGACCTCAGCTTAATTGTTCACAAAGGGCTAACGGTACTGCTGGCAAGTAAATGACTTCTACAGAGTGTTGCAACTCTGATAGCTGAAGAGAAGGGGAGCAGCAGTCTGACAGATAATCAAAATTTTTAATGTGAACCATAGTAGGAGAGGTTATTCAGAGCACACCCAGACTGTAGGAGCCTTCCGCAGCTGCCATAGTAGCTCCTTAGGATGAGAAATGCTTAAACATCATCCTCACTCAACTTTGTTAAGTGTTGCTGCTGTTAGTCACCAACCAATACAGTCTGACACTTTACAGCAACAGACAGCAACGATTGGGATCTGCAGAGACAGAAACATGCTACTTAAATTTCTTTGAGGCCAAACCTGCCCCCAGTTCTGTGGCCCTCAAGAGCTTTTCTTAGAGTTTGACAAGGAACCAAGGGAAAGAGTGTGAAGATAAAAAGAAAGGAGTAATGCAAAAACACCCACCACTGGCCCGTGGCAGCTGACCTTTTGAAGGCTACTGCAGAAAGAAGGATTTTAGGGAGGCAGCTGGTTCTCCCACACAGGGGAGCAAAGGGCCATAGAGGACAAGGCAAAGGCAGGGTGGAAGAGAGGTAAGGGGGGGAGAAGTTATGTTTGTCCTGCCTGTTTTGATTTGAGAAGTTAGGGAATAACCAAATTTGTCCCTGACTCTCCTCTCCACATGCTGTCCTGATGAAGTCAGAAGAGACCTATGTACCCTCAGAGCTGATGTGCAGAGAGAACGAACTCATAGAGTTTAAGGGACTGTATTACCAAACAGGTCCTTACATTCTCTTTCTACAGGGAACACACAAACCAAATTACTCTGTGGTCAGGAAGACAGCATGATCCATATTACTACACTGGACAAAAGCAGGAAAATCACATAGCTATCCCAGCAGTTGATTTGGTTCCTAGAGGAGAGATGAGTCAGGGGCTTACACAGATGAGTAGGTGCTCACCTACAGTCTAAAGAATCCTTGTTCCTCCAGGATATCAAGAAGCCCACAGCAACAAAAATCTGGGTAACTTTTTGCAGCTATGTAATATCCTAAAAGAGCATACTAATTAAAAATACTGTATAGCGTGCATGCATGTCTATGAAGTGAGGGCACTTCTGAAGTGCTGAACTGTGCATACATTTACACCTTACCAGGCACAGGTCGTTAGCAGATGTACTTATACAGAAAGTGCTGAATGCAGTTTCCTCCTTCCCCTCCTGATTCAGTGTGGGGTCAACAACATCAAACAGCTCCCACAGAGAGCACTTGCAGCCCCCCGAGACCAACAACAATTGCATTTGTTCTGGCAACTGTCGCTCCCTCTCAGGCTCTACTCTGCAGTGGGTTGCCACTCGTGAGCTGAGGCTCACAGCACAAAGGAACCCAAACTGTATTCCACTAGAAAAAGGAATTATAAACCCCACCTGCCAGTTGAGAGGGTAAATGCTTGATGCCTCCTCCCCAAAACATCAACGACAACAGTAACCTCCATGCTACCCTGCACAGGCACTCCCCAAGCCACAGAAGGATCCATCCTCTTTGGGGTCACCCTTGTGAACACACATCCAAGGAGCAGCAGCACAACCAGAGTTAGCACACTAACTCTGCTATGCTCCATTAACAGTCACATTTGTTTGGTTTCTTCACAGGCAGAAAGGATGGTGAAAACTATAGCTGTCTTCATGTCAGGGAAAGGTAGCTGAGCTACCCACGTATGCAAACCAAAAGACAAGAATGTTTCTAGATCAGAGGATGTTTGCTGCTCAACACAGCCAAAATCACTGGGGTCTTCCTAAATTAGGGATGCTGATATATCCAGCAGCAGCCACTAGTCATATTGGCTGTCTCAGTGTCACTGGAAAGCAACTACCAAAGCTTTCAGAAGTTCATATTTCAATTTTAAAGCTGAGGCTATTTTAGCTAATGTCCCCAAGGCAATTGTCTGGTCAAATGTCAGAGTTTATATTGCTGAAGGAAATCATGATGTTTATGAGGTCTCCACAGTTTGGGAAGCACATTAGACTCCATTTGAGTTTCTCAGATTATACTGTGCTGTGGATATCTTCTTTTTTACTCTGTGTTTGTAACATATCTCAATCTCCTCGTATTCCTATGATCAACTGAAAATATCTCTCTCTGCCAGTTTTAAATATGAGTTTCATTGCTGTAGGATTTTCCCCCACTAATTCACCTCTTTAAAAAAAAAAAAAATTTCAAGTGATGTTGTTTCTGTGTGCTTTTGAGTCTGATAACCTGCAAATTGGTAATTTATTTACTTTTTCATTAGCAAAACATTGCTTGGATTTTCATCTTCTGCAACTAATGCCCAGCTTCAAACTTTATTTTAACTCTTTAACACCCAGGATTCTCCTTTCCTTTTATCTCTCTCAGCTTCTTGAGGTTTTTTCCCCTCCTGACTCCATTACTAACACTAGGGATTGGCTCCTCTGCTTTGGCACAAGGACAGTGCATGTGTTACCTGTTGCTGCACATTACCTCTGTCAGCTGGTTTCCACATGAGTTTTGCCCTGCCCATGTTCATGGGCTGCCACTGTGCTGATTGAACATTAGTGACCCACTGCACATGTAACTGGGTCTAAGGTATTTGAAGCCTTACATATCCATTAATGTGGCTTGAAGGCATTTCTTGATTTGCAAATTTTAAAAACCTCATACTTTTCCAGTCAGCAC